TTCTACTTCATCAAGATCACAGACTTTGCATTTTTTATGGTTAATGTCAATATTTTTGTACCGCCCCATTTCTATCTGTAAGGTATGGGCACTTATACGTAGTTTTGTTTTGTTGATATTTTTCATAGGTGTAATCCTTTTTCAGTAATCTGTAGGTTCTAAGTTTGTTTTTATGATTTTTAGATTTATGGTCATCATACATGCTGTTTTCAGCAACTGTTTTAAAACGTTTAATGAGTCTATCTAAGATTGGATGAAGTAGACTTGCAGGACTTGCAGAATTTAATATGCAATTTTTCCATGGGTGAGTTGAGATTTGTCAAGAAGTTTCCTTTGTTAATAATTCAATCGGACCAAATTTCACTACAGTACAGCAAAATTGGTTTTATCTTTGCATCAAACATCTTTAAGTGGATTTCTACTGGAATGTAGTTTTCGGAGAACAGCATTTGGTTCATTTTGAAGCATGCTTTCATGGCTCTATTTTTGAGATCTTCTTGTGCTTTATCAAGTTTGCCTGTTGTGTTTAATTTCATTCCCAAATATGTATAAGAGGATGTTATTTCCAGCTCTGCCCCATTAAGAATGAAGTCAGATTTGTTAAGTTTTTTCCCAGACTTATTGAAGATCATAATTTTGGATTTACTGATATTAATGTCTAATTTCCATTTTCGGCAGTATACTTCCATGGACTGAATGGCATTTTTAAGCCTGGTTTGGTCTCTGAAAGAAGTAGAAGATCATCTGCAAACATCAGACATGATAGATTTCTGTTGAGTAAAGTTGGTGGTTCATTGCCAGAGTTGTTTATGTGATTTTTTATGTCATTATTAACATAGATATTAAATAACACTGGACTCAACCCATCACCCTGTCTGATGCCTCTTTGAATTAGAAAGGTGTTATATTATGATTTATCTTTACTGCACCTAATGAGTTTTAATAGATAGATTTAATTATTTTATAGAATTTACCTGTAATGCCATTCATGATGAGTTTTTGTAACAGACCTTCGTGCCAAACAGAATCAAAAGCTTTCTGAAAGTCAATAAAACATGCATATATTTTTTTTCCTTGACTGAAGTATTTCTTAAGGAGTTGTTTTAGAACAAATATGTGATCTGCTTGGCATAAACTTGGGCATAAAGCCAATTTGTTCTTTAATAATTATATCTTTTTCTTGCTAATCTTTGTTTTAATACAGAAGTGAACAATTTGTTTAATGTATTCAGAAGGGTAATACCTCGAGAGTTACCAGGATAATTTTTATTTCCCTTCTTGAAGACCGGAGTAATAATTCCCAAATTCCAGCTACTAGGGAAGTGTCCAGATGACAAGATCATGTTGAACAGTTTTTGAATAGGTTGGACTAATGTATTTCTGCTTGTCTTGATCATCTCATTTGTAATTTTGTCTACCCCGGGTGCTTTTTTATTTTTTAGACTGTTTATTGCTTTATGTATTTCTAGCTGGGATATAGTTTGATCCAGACTGTTCGTAGGCAAGAAGTTAGATTCTAATTCGGCTAATGTGTCACCACCGTTTTTTGTTACTGTTGACTTTCTCATAATTTAATTTTTTGAAGTGGTTATACCATTTCTCCGAATGAATGTTTTCGCAAGTGTTATTATTAGTAGTATTTTTTAATTCGCCTATAAGATCCAATATTCATTAGGTTTAGATTTGCCCAGCTCTTCTAGTTTAGTTAGAATATTGGTTTAAATTTTTTTTTTTAACTTGTTGTTTATAACATTTTTTTAAGCTGTAGCATTTATTTCTTAATTCTCTGTTGTAAGGAATATGACAAAGTCTCTGGGAGAGCTTATGTACTTCCTTTTTTAAAATAGAAAGTTTGTTTGTGTACCATTTTGGTTTATTTGTTTTTTTTTATGTTTTTCTTCATCTTTATGCTTTTTACTGAAAATGCGTTTTTTAAGCTCCTACCAGCTGCCTTGTGGTAAATATTTGATAATGAATTAGTTGCTGTATCTACAGAATATTGTGTATTGTCAAAGTTGGTATTGTTAGATTTGTCGATTAATCTATTGACATCTCCGCTATTAAGTGCCCGACTGAATTCAAATTTTGAGTCACTGTTCCAAAGGTAGTGGAAGTTTAAGTGTGACAGAGAACCATTGTTTTTATTACATGTATTTGTATGTTTTTTGGTGAGGGCCATGAAGCATTTGTTTTTAGGTGAAACACCATTTGGTAATGGTCAGAAATTGATAGGTTTAAAGGTTCAATGTGGAAAAGTGTAATATTCCTAAATAGATCATGGCTAACAATGGTGTAATCTACCACACTACTACCTCTGCTCTGATGGCAGGTGTATTTACCAGTATTGTCACCAATACATCTCCCATTAAGAATGATAATATCAGCTGATATGCAGAGATCTAGCAGTAAGTCACCATAGTGGCTTTTGAGTGACATGTCTTGAGAGGTCCTTTTCTTAAAAGAGATGTTTGTATCAGAGGACCGATAATTGACATTATTAAAGATGACTGTGCCATCACTATTTTTTGTTCGAGCATTTAGATCACCAGTAAGGATTACTGACCCAGTCTTTGAATATTTTGTAATATCTGCTTCGAGTAATTGAAACAGATTAGATTCCTTCCAATAAAAAATGCTTGAAGACTGTGGGCTCAAATAAAGTGCACAAAGATAATGCCATGATCTAAATGGGAAAATGATTTGTCTAATTTTAACCAAATGAAGTCTTCACTGCTAGATGTCATGCATTTAACGCCATTACTGTAAGAACTTTTGTAGTACACGACTACACCACCTGAGTGTGAGCGAGCATTTCTGTGCTTTTCCTTACGGAATGAATGAAAATGGTTGTATTGTGGAATGTCAATAACAGAATCTGCATTTGTTTTGGTTTCTGTTAAACTAACAAAGTCATAGGTGGTAATATTATTCAAAAAAACTTTGTCTCTAATTTTTCTTTCAAGGCTGCCATAAATATTCCACGTAGAGAATTTCAAGGTTGATCTTATTTTAATCAGATTGGTATGATATGTAATCAAAGCAATTTATGGAATATTCCCTTTTGATGGGATACGGAGCGGTATAAAAACTGTCACAATAATTTGTATTCATCTCACATTGTCGTATCTGTATTGGAATATAATGTGTGTGAAACAACGCGATTCGAAGATATATACGTACATATACTCCAATTAAAGAGAGGCATGAGCGAATCAGAGTACCCATTACTTTCATTGGATTGGATTCGCGCCCTCTACGTTTAGCTTTATGGCAGGGTAAGATGATCATCCCAGGAAGACAGTCAGAGCATAGCTACACATCAACATAGATGTGAATACACAGTGTGCGTGTTTGTATATCCACTTACTTTAACGAATACAAGCAGCTCATTTTTTTGTGTCGATCATCAAGTGTAAATTGTTAATTTTCCACCTCGATTTCAAACTCTCGATGTAATCAAGTGGCTGAATCTCTCATGCTGCGACTCTTCAGGGATAATCGTCAATGCTGTGGTCAAGTGTGCGGACATTCAATTTCACAAGAAGCT